TGATTTAAAAGAGTTTGGAGTGTCAGTTAAAGACAGACATATAAACTAGTGATTGTTTAAAACAACTTGACAAGTGCCACAATGGAGCAAGAACAGGAAATATTTTTGCCTCTTGTTCTCACCATCAGCCTCTGAGCCCAGGCTGCATTTCCTGCCCTCCCTGTCTGGTCATCTCTCCATCCTGCATACCCTACCAGACTGCTTTGCCTTAACTTCTCATCATTTTGCACACAAATCAAAATAATTCCATGGTCTCTAATCCAATAAAACTATAAATGCTTACCTGACTTTCAAGAACTACCGTCTGCCCCCCCCATCCATCCAATATCTTCACCACTTCATGTATTCTCTAAGTTAGCAGTCACCCTGTGACCAAAGTGTGCCCCGTACAGACAGATGTAAAGTATATGGTAGTGCTTCCAGAATACATGGCAGTGTGTGAGTATATGATGTGCCTCCATTATGCTTCGTGCCTCCCACATCTTTGCACAAACATTTCCTGAGCAGCAATGATATGCCAGGCTCGGGACTTCACCAGTTTCCTTACTGCCCACAACCATATATGTCTTTGCATCTCCATATCTAGTCATCACAGCCTTGTTCCCAGCATATCCTGCCCCTGTCTCCCTACTCCTCCAAGCTGCCTGTTCTCAGCCTCTCAGCTGAAGCCTTGGCTCTCCCACCTATTTAATAATTGCCAAATTAATGACTTCTTTATTTTACTATGTATTATATGTATTGTATTTCTTACTTTCTGCTGTATTCCCAGGACCTAGTCCCAGTACCTGATGCATTAGGCATTCATTAAATACTGAATAACTACATTCATGCACACACCACACATGCTAGTTTCTGTGCTTCTCACTGGACACTCATTTAAATCTCCCTTGTCTGAACTCAGAAGGTGTTCCTATAGAAATGAGCATCAAATCAAGTAATGACTTTACTTATCCATCACTGATGCGACTCTTTAAGGTCCAGACGCGCCCCATCACAGTAACCCAAAGCTGAACCTGTAGGAAGTTAACACTCGAAACCTGCATAGTTTTTTCCCACTGAAATGACCAATTGCTTTGATATTAGTTTGAGCATTTCTGCATTACTGTATAAATGGAATTCAGCAACGTATACCTGCAAGTTTGGTAGACATTATGGCATAGTAGTTAAGAACAAGGACTTTAGATACAGGAAGACCTTCTCAGTTTGAAACCTAGATCCGTCATTTACTCCCTCTGACCTTGGGCAAGTTGCTTAGTCTCTCTTGGTCCCAGTTTTCTCATCTCCGTAATAGAGAATAGTATCTTTTTCCTGCAAGCAGAGTAAGGAATATATGAGAAAATGTATGTAAAATGCTTAGCTCAGTGTTGATGTATGGTAAATGAGTCAGTAAATTTTAGGGGATGGTATTTACACTGTTGTTGACATTGTGGTAGACACTGTCGATATCCAGCACCCCTGTTTTAAAGGGAGGCTGGGGGAGGGCACAGGAGGTTTTTGAGACTCAGAGTAGTTAAATGGCTTACACAAAGTCACACAGCTAAGTGGTATCAGAGCCAGAACCCAGACCTGGCCTCCGTGGCTCCAGAAAAAATTCTCCTCCCCTTTATACATGTTAGGAAACATGCTTAGAGAGCCTATCTCCATGAGGCCAAAATAACCAATCAGTTCATAGTCTCAATGAAAATAAATTGGTCCCAATGGTTTTGGAGTCCTGGACACTCATGTGAACACTGGGAAGACACACAGATGAGGTTCAGGAACACAAGTACAGTGTTGGGTGTGTTTTAGCAAGCCGGGTGGTAGCATCATGGGAAAACATTTCCCTTCCTGATACCGTTATATATTATTTTGTTTAGAGCTACCTAGTGGATTAAGGAATAAAATCAGAGAGACGCGATTTCAAATGAGAAGAAGGTAGTTGTCCACAGAGCCTAGACATTTCTATCCTTGGTGAGCTATGTCCCAGTTTCTCATGTGATAACTCTTCTTTCTTTTTTGTATTTTTTTTTTCACGTGCTAACTTTTCAATCAGGAGGGCTCCTCTTTTTTTTTTTTTTTT